GTAAAACAGCAATTATGCTGAGTCAGGCTTGATTTTTAGTAATCTTTTCCTGTTGAATCAATAAATCAAATCAAATCATTTTGTATGTTATTTTGCCTAAGTTACTCCCTATCGTGAAACAAAGGGTTAAAACTCAGCTGACCCCGTTTTAATTGGGAAACTCTGGAAACAAATGTTTATTCATTAATGCTTTTATCAGTCCGAACACGTCCTTCACTGACAAGTGAGGCCCCTATTTTCTAAAACTTTTCCAGAGAACAAAGACCAACGCCTCGACTACCGGTGCTTAATTCCACATAGATAATGAAGCTTTAGTGCTCAGTGTAAAGATACACTTTATCTGTGTTTTTAAAGCTCGTTGTGATAAACAAGGGAGGTCAAAAAATGAATACAACAAATGAAACAAGTATTTATAACGACTGTTTGTGTAATAACTAAACATTTCTTGTTGTATTTGCACGTTTGGACTCACACCAGCTGGCTCCGCCAGTCGTTAAAATCTCTCCTGGGAAGAGAGATGGCCGGGTTCGAGTGCACAGCGAGAGGCAGTCTGCTCTCCAGATATGCCCACTGCACCCACAGGTCTGTGATCTGAAACAACAGGATGGAAGACGGGAGGAAAAACTATTAAATGCTATGAAGATCACCATGTGATGCTCAAGATAGAAATTTAACGATGAAATGTTTAAGGTCTCAAGTGATTGCAGCTTGATTTTTTATTATTATTTTGGCACAAAAAACAAAAGTGCTTGGTCAAAATGTTTATTTAAAGCTGGCATATTATGTTTAGAGACCAATAAGTACTGTGGCAGCACTAAAATCTTTATAAACTGAAATTTGCATTAGTTTTTTTCTGTTCATGAAATGTTTTTTACTCTAACATGCTTGCCCATATATCCCACCTTTCAAATTAATCTAACATGCCTGTCTGCAGAATTAATGCTCCTACTTTCCTTTTAAACTGATCATTTTTAATAAGCTGGCTGATGTACCCCAGGGAAATCCCCTCGTATAATGCGTCATTGTGAAGCACAGGGATTCAAAATTTAGGGCTGGAATTTTTTTTAGAAACAAAAAACATCACTTTAGAACAGGGGTGCCCAAACATTTTCCCCGAGGCCATAATTAAAATCAATCTGAGGGCYGCGGGCCAAATGCAATAATATAAGAAATGCAAATACTTAAATTGTTTTATTTAAACAACCAGCYAGTGTGATTGCCCACATTCTTTAGTTTTTTTTCAGCCCATGGACTTGGAGAAAATTCAACATATGCTCAGGCAGCAAAGACTCATGGGACTTTTCATAATTTTAAATTTGAGTATATGTGGTCTTATAAGATGTGCAAATCTATATATGGGCTTTAATCTAAATGTCGCTTGTAGTTACTTGTATTTTATATTTAATCTTAACATAATTACAATCTAACTGCTGGTGGGCCAAATCAAATGCCTCAGCGGGCCAATTTTGGCCCGCGGGCCCCACTTTGGGCACCTCTGCTATAGATAAAAAAATATAAAGTTCCAAAAAATGTTTTAAAAAACCCTTATTTTGCCAGCAAGGGTGACATTTGTTTCTTTAACTGAGCTGTATTTTGATTTGTCTTTATAAATTATGCAAGCCAAGTTTCTACAATGTTGTTTTTCTATTTAAACTCAAACAATTGCAAAATAAGTCCAGTAAAAATATGAACATAATTGTACTCTGTAAATGTTATAAATGTAGGTATTTTGATAAATAAGTTTAAGTTTTGCTCGCTCAAATCTTTTCAAATGTTTTGCTGAGTCACACAGAAGAGTTTAGCAACTCAAACTAACAGTAGATCCACATTTTTCTTCATTATTTCACAGTAAAAAACAACAAACACACCCAGTTCTTGGTGTGTCTGGCCCTTTTCTCCAGCCCCTCCTGCAGCCTGGGTCCCAGCCCACCGGGCCTGCCGAACTCCTGCACTATCCTGCGGGTGTGGCTGAGCTCCTCGGGGGGCAGCAGAGGCTCCAGGGCCCTCAGGTAGCCCTGCAGGGTCTGGGTCAAAGGGGGCACCGGCTGGGGGGGCACGGARGAGAAGAAACACGGCTCCTGCCTCAGGGAAACCTGCGGGTCGGATGAGAGTAACATTTGTTTTTAAACTTAATGTTGTGAAAGTTACAGTAAGTCTGCGGGGAGTTTACCCCCCGAACTTTGACCCAAAGCTGGGCGCGACCCACAGGCTGTATAACACAGTAGGAAATGTTTAAAAAAAAATGTAAACAACATTCGCTACTTCTCAGCAAGTTAGCACAAAGGTCGGTGCGCGCGCGAGGCTAAAGGGTCCAAGCTAGTTTCCAACTTAAATAAATAAATAAATAAATAAAGACTCACCCTGGACAGCCATGCTCTGCAGGTTCTCGGCTGAAGATTCCTGAAAATCATTTTCCCTCAGATCAGAAACCCGCTGCGTTTCGCATGTAATTAAAAACGGCACCGTTTGCCTTTTTATTCGCAAAAAAGGCGTTCAGATCGCCAAAATGAAGTCCTGACCTCCTCCTACTTCTCCGCGACGGAGGTACGCGACAGCCCTCATCGCTCGACGAGACAACGGAGCGTGAAAACAGTTGTCTTTGGAASCAAAATGGGACAAAAACAACAACACGTAGCCCTGCCTTCGAGTGTTGTTCTTTCGAGCAGCGAGCATGCGGACCCTCACGTACAGGACAGACAAGAGCGAAGAAGAAGAAAGGGGGCAGCTGCTGGCCACGTGCTGACGTCAAAATGTTTCCGTAAACAGATGCAGCACCCCCGCCTGACCGCCGGTGTCGCTGTTGCGCCTCCGACTTCCGCCCTGAGCACGTTCAGTACGTGCAAAGCTGAAATGCCTGGTTGGCTGTGAGAGCTGTCCGTCCGCCATATTGGAGGTGGCACCGCTGCGCTGTGAACTACTACAAATGAATGGACGTTGTTTCATAAAGCACATTTTAACAGAGATTTACGTTAATACACATGCTCACACACACACAATTTGAGAAAAACAGGTACCAAAAACAATGTGTTAAAACTTCTTACAGGACTTCAAAATACAACTTTATTGATCCCACACACAATTAATTTATGTTTCATAAGCTGTAAAGGTAAAATAGTGTAAAAATCAATTTATGTTACACTTTGTCTTATTAAATGAATTGTAATGAATGAATTTAGGAAACCTATACAGAATTTAAAAAGCTAAACACACAGCAACAACAGTCTAACAAAACGTTTGACTGAAATAATTTATTTATTCGTTATTTTATCTTCTGAATAAGGGATACAGTTGGTAATAAGAACTTTCTTACAAT